CTTCTGAATCAAACACCTAGAATAAGTATACAGGGAATGGAAATCAGATTTAAAGTGAGAATAACTCATCTCTGTATCTGCTCCTGGTCATTTATTCAAAAACTACTGAATCTACTGGATCAGCATGACAGCCTACAATAGGAATGAACATTTTCAGAAACATGTCAGCAATGGTAGCTTACATGTTTCTACCATGCCATGTCATTAAAAAAAGGATACACAGACATATTCACATATCATACGGTTACAGATTTCACATTAATGTAATCTTCAACTGAGTTGGTCTTTGCACAGAATATAATTTCCTGCCAAACCGAAACCATGACTAGTAGCATAACAACTGCAAAAATAGTAAACCATCTACATACTGAGTCACCATCTGAAAATACTGCACAGCCTGATTTGATACAACTTGATAAAAACAACCTTTACAACATCAAGAAAAAGCAACACTGACGCATAAAGGAAAACATTCCCAACAACCAATATCTGCTTGACACATTTGACCTATGAGACAAACGACATAACAGGAGGTTCTGAAAGGTTATAAAAATACAATTTGAATATGTTGACATCACACAGCATTCTATCTGTCTCTGCTAAAAGACAATTTCCTAGTTCACACACGAGCCATGAATGTTTTGGTCACCTGGAAATGTGGTTTTACTGCTTAAATGGTACAAGCAATACTGGAGTCTAAGAGTTCAGTAAGAAACCTTTAATGTAGATTTTCCAAAGTGTAGATGTGTACCCTTACTGGCAAACATTCTCACATCACGTGGTACAAAGAAAGGCTGGAATTATTTATTTTTCTGAAACTTCTGTTTATTACATTTTGTGCCAAGTTTAGTCTATTTATTATTATATTATTTATTATATATATTTATTTATTAGCATCTTCCAAATCACTCATCATCCCCAAGATACAGGTCTCTACCAAGAAAGGAACCCATATAGTAGTTAATTGAAAAAATGAAATCAACCGCCTCTCCACAGAATGACCTTGAATTATTTCTTTTTAATACTTTAAAATTTGTAGTCATCCCACAGAATTATGTACCAACGCAGGGTGCCCTTATCTGCTGATCCTCATACCCGCAGATCCTCATTGATTTTGGCAGCCTGCAGTGGCTGTCACAGAGATAAGCAAAGGTTACTGCAGGCCACATGAGAAGTCAACACAGGTCAGCAAATCAACAGACACAAAATGAATACAGTCAAATTTGTTCCCATCATTGATCGTACCTGCCTGACATCCCATATGTTCTATAGTAACAACAAAAAGATTATTCACACATCTGTGGTGCAGATTGAAGCTCAGGTTTCAAAGCCAATTGATACAGCAGTTGTTCACCAGTTCATGTCAGCTTTTCATCAGGTTCAGGACAAGATTAGCTCAGGATCTTATCCTGTTCACACATATGCAGTTTAGAAACAGTTCCTATAGAAGGCAACAACCTGTAATCCACACATGAACCAGTCCACACTGCTCAGAAATTGTACATGACTTTTAAAATCACATTGAATCTGCACCGGACATATGTGAACAGGCACCATAGGAAGCAATGTTTTTTTCACGTCATGCAGACTGGATGCAGTTCAAATGGCATCCAATCCACATATATGTGAACCGGCACTAACAGAGGTCTACTGAAGCCTGAGGACTCTTTGTCAATATGATTCAAGGACTACAAAAATTGAGATCATGGATCTTCACACCTATACAAGGACAAAAGAAAAGAAAGAAACTGCCTCACAACTCTGTTCAGGGTTGGACCGGAGAACCTGTGGCCCTCCAGAAGAAGTGAAAAGTATGGCCCATCACATGTCAACAATATTGGTATGGATTACCATGAGGGGACACATTTAAAAAGACACTGTTTAACAGCTGCAGCTTCATCTATGCAAATATACAAAAGGTTATCATTCGGTTCTCAGAAGCAGGATTATTTATCTGCAGTCCAGTGAAACTATACATATGTTATTGATACTGCCAACATGTTACAAAAGTCTGTCAAAGGGTGCTTGTATGGACTAAAAACACTGTCATAGACTGCTAGCATTAAACAACATACTGTCAAGAAACTGCTCACATGTCCACCATTTTCTACAGTGATATAGAAACTGTTCTGTAGACAACACAACCTACACTAATTGACTGCGGTCAATACTATATACAGTTGTGGTTAGGTGTTTGAGTAGTATGTGGTGCGTTTTTGGTGGCTCAATAGTAGTACCCCCACTCATTAGTTTCCTGGCTCATTAAGTACCACCGCTCAGCAGATCCTCAGCTCATCAGTTTCCTGGTTCAGCAGATCCCCGTAGTACCAATAGTACCCCCAGCCCTTAGTGGTACTGTACATCCCCCCTCAATAGTACCCACCTGCACAGTGGTACATTACCCCCAACCCTGCCCAAGCCCCCCCTTCACCCGCTCAGTAGTAATCCCCCCTGCCCCCCCCCCCCCCCCATGTTTCCTCTGTTTTAGCAGGGAAACGTCAGGTGCTTGCAGCTGGCTGGGTCCACAGACCGATTTTTTTTCATATGGGGTGCCCAGGATTTTTTATTATCCCCATATCCGAAGGTGGATCCACACTGTTACTTGAAAGAGGGCCAAACCACCTGGACAATGAATCATTTAAAGTATAAACTCACCTCAAATTTATCATAATACATAGACCATCTTTTCAGGGAATTTGTAACAAATCTGCCCTCATACCTCAAAGACATTTTGGATTTTCTTAACAATCTAACTACCATCTCATCTATTTCGACCAAATACCAATGGCTCACAGTAGAAGCGGCATCTTTATATTCTAACATCCCACATGATAAAGGTATTGAGGCAGTTTTGATGTATTTGATTGCTGACTTTTTAATGCCAAAAATGCAGGTGGATTTTCTGCTCCAAGCAAAATGTTTTATTCTGTTGCATAATAATTTCTTCTTCTTGGACAGCTTTCATCACTAGACCGTGGGAGCTCATTTTGCCTCCTATTTTGCAAACTTGCATATGGGTCATTCTGATCAAAAATACATCTCTCCATCTACCAGTCCATTACTTTCTAATGTCAAAGTATATAAGAGATACATTGATGACCTTATCCTAGTTTGGGAAGGTGAACCTTCAACAATTCCTTCATTTATTCAGTACCTTAATAATAATACCTGGGGACTCTCCTTTACAAGTCACATTCACCCCTTAAGTATAGAATATCCTGATGTGGTTCTGACAGGTAATCCAGATGGGAAGAATACTACAAAAACATATTTCAAGAGTGTGGATAGCAACAGTGATTTGAACTTTAACAAATGTCATTTTAAACCATGGTAAGATATATGTTCCACATATTCCAGCTTTCATTCATCCAGATCAGTCGGGATTTACCCCTGGTAGGAAGGTTACAGATAATTCTCAATGGGTCTTTAGCAGCATATATTTATGCCAGTTGAAGCATATCTCATTAGTGCTGTAATGCTTTTGTCCACAGATGCAAAGTAGATTGAGATTTTCTTCAAGCGGCGTTCAAGTCAAGCCAGGACTTTTAGTTTTACAGGTATAAAAAGGGATGCTAGAGTGGCGGTACTACATGTAGTAGAGAATTGCAAGTCAGTCCTATTACTGATAGGCGGCGCATATGTCACAGGCCAGCCCAGAGACCATTAATCAAAATGGCAGACAACAGTGTTAGTGCGTGCATGGAACAGCAGGTGGTGATGAAGTCTCTTGTGAACGAAGGCGTAAATCCCGTGGATATCTACAGAAGACTTCAAGCACAGTGCGGTGACGAGATGCTCAGCGCTGTAAGACATTTGAATGGTATAAATGTTTCAAGGATGGCCGAACGTCCATGAATGACGATCCTGGCAGTGGTGGTTCCCAGCCCACAGCAGTCATTCCTGTGATCATTCAGTGATTGGAACACCTGATCCCAACACATAACCTGTCATGAACTTGCACAAGAGACCAATCTTTGTGGGAACAGTGAACACAATCATTCATGAAGTAAAGCAGGTTTTCCTAGGATGGTTCAGGTGTACTGACAAATCTTTCTATGCCGAAGCTTTCCAAGCATTACAGTAGTTAAACACTGGGATAAGTGTATAAATGTAGCAGGGGAGTATGTAAAAAAATAAATGCAGTTTCCACTCCTTGAAATTAGTTCTTTTATTATATAAACTTAAAAGTCTCGGTTTGACTTGAACGCCCCTCTCAGATTAGATCATATAAGGGTTGGTGAGGGGATGAGAAGGTGGCTCTAAACACTTTATTCCACTCTGTCAGCTAAAGTAAAAATTAATTATGCCATTTCTGACCCCTTCCACATTCAAAATGGGACTTGTTAAGGGTGCCCACTGTAATCATTCATATTTATACTCACTCTGTAGTCCTTTATGCGAAATACCAGAGCTCAAACTGACATATTCACACATAGGCTAACCACATATGCCGAAGGCTTAATTTTCTTTGTAATGTCCCCTTTGATATCTTTATCCAATCTCCTAGCAGAGCTGAACCACTATGCAGCCTTATCAAATTTAAAAATCAATTATTCTAAGATCTACTGACTAATTCCAGGATAACCTTTTGCAAAGCCTCAACATTAAAGAACACACTTAATAAAGACTAATGTGACCAAAGGGACACCACTGTGTTATACCCCAATGTTGGATATTTTTAAATGTGGGATTGCTAGGCATTCTATATGTAAAAAAAAAACTATTGGCATCAATTCTAATAGCACAGGCATCAGTTAGCCAATCAAGTCTTTCCTCTCATTATGTGGTAGATGGTCATACGATCTACAGCAGGGCTTAAAATTTCAAGACCTGAACTACTAGCCAGGCCTTAGAGTTACTCGCCACCAACAAACACACACAAACAGAGACACCTGTACACACACACACACATACACACACAGAAACATATGTACACACACACACATACAGACACATGTATACACACACAGGCACGTACAGACACGCATACACACAGATACATGTACATGCACAGAAATACACACGCACAGACACATGTACATACATACACAGACACATGTACATACAGACACAAACATACACACATATACATGCACAGATATATGTACACACACACAGACACATGTACACACACACGCAGACACATGTACATACACGCAGACACATGTACAGGTACACACATGAACATACACACATACACATGTACAATTGTATATGCATACACAGGCACACAAACACACACACACACACACACACACGTACACCCCCCTTCCCCCATAAAAAGCCGCAGTACTTCGTTGTTCACTCACAGATCCGGGTACTGCACTCTAGGGGGAGGCAGAGAGCACAGCACACACTCCTTGGTTTGCTTTCACTGCGCTCAGCTATTGAGCAGTCTGATGGCTCCCAGTGCCAATGACAGATCCGGCCTGAGATCTGAGCCTGCTCAGCAAGACAGCCCTGGGGGACACACTAGCCCCCACCAAAATTTCCACTCGCCATTGGCGAGCAGAAATTTCAAGCCCTGATCTACATTATCATGTCCTTGCAATTTACAGCATGCAGGAAGGACAATACAAACCTTCAGACAAAGGTTAGACAAACATTGGTCAAACATCAAATTAGTCATTAAAGGTCATAGTGTCTCAAAACACTTCTTGGTACACCTTGACAAGGATTTCAATTCATCATGAGGCATTGTAAAATAAGAAATACCAGTCAAAACATTATAACATTAAAGCATTATAATAAATTTACAAAGTTATGCAAAGGTGGATTTACAGATTAAACACTTTAGTTATCACCATTAAAGATGAATCCACCTTTCATTTATGATATTTATTTGACCACACTAAAAATATATTCATTAATTTATTATATTCACAAGCCAGTCACCACATTTTTACCATTTTCAGCTTATTTCTAATGCTATCATCTATTCATGTTTAGCACATCACATTACTCTGTATACTGTATTTCATTTTAAACCCGCTGTTTATTTCCATGGATTGCACACTGTCTTTTATCGCTTCCTTTTCATCTCATTGCAGCTTCCAGGTATTTTCAGACCACATCATTAGTCCCATCAGAGCACCCATTCACAGTATATGCTCATTATTTTTCTTTATACGTTAACAGTCTGTCCCATGCCCTGATTGTCTTTACATCATTTTAGCGTCCTGAGCAGCTCCAGCTGTCAATAAAGTTGAAATCAGCAGTGCTATATGTGCAGGGCAAGGGTCCACTTAGAGGATCCTCCTGAAGAATACAAAGCAGTATAAATCTCATGAGAAGATACTCTTGCACTACACTGGAGTGTCTTCTTGGGAGATTTGGGCTGTTCTACATTCACAAGAATCTTCCCAGAAGGACAGTTATGTCATACCCAACAATGCCGCAGACAGGGGAAGGCAGGTATAAAATCTTTTTCTTTACAGGAATCTTTTGCACATACCTAGAGCTAGTGTTTTTTTTTATGTAGGAGGAGGCTTGGACAATATAATTGGACCTTGTATTGTACTGCAAGATCCACTTTAAAGCAAATCTGTGCTTTGCCCATGCTTTACAAAATAACATATTTACTTTAATTATATAAATTCCAAAGATGCAAAAAGTCACTTTTCTACATTTCCCTGCTGCCAGGAGTAAAATGAAAGCCCTGTGTAAGCTATGAACAGCTGGAGTCAATAATGTACACAGGGCTATGGACTCCCACTGTGACAGTATTAACTGACCCCCACTGCTGTCACATGGAGTGAGTCACATGGCTCCTGACTCTGAATCAAGCTGTTTGGGTGTGAAGAATAGGTAGGTACAGTATTTGTTGAGAAGCTATGGTTAAAACAAACATGTTTTTTTTACCTTGAAATGGCAAATCACAGATTTGCTTTCAGCTACTGAGCATCCTTAACAGACTTTTTCAATAGGTGGTAAAACAACAAAGAAAATCATGTAAAATGGAGCCTTAAGCTCCACCTGCTGGTACAAATATGCAAACTAAATATGCAATATTTAATTTTTACATTTTTGTTCTGAATATAATAAACAGATAAATAAAATGTATATAAAACCACTCTACATTCCCTTTAGATGTTGCAACAGATAAAGCTCCTACACCTAATATTGCAATAAATACTTTTGGATGTCAACAATTTTGATACAAAAGTATCCAAATACAATACAGTTCAGTACAATATAGCACTCATATTGAGAAATAAACAAAAAAGAAAAAAAACAAAAAAAAACAAAAAGACGGAGTCCACAAAAGTTAGCTCCGAAAACAATTGAGAGAAATATAGGAAACAGAATGAGAACTATTGAGCATAAGCAATTATAACATAGGTACGATATATGCATTAACTTAACACTTTATCCTGGATAGTGCTATGATGAGTAAATGATGCATATATGGGAAGGAAGGCCAAACAACAGAAGTGCCTAAGATATATAACACCCCAACGGGAAGACTCAGCCCGTAGCAGAAGAGCGGCACGCCTAACCACACAAGTGTATATCATTTTTGGATGTCAACATTTAGGTGTGGTGCTTCTGCTCTTAACTAGGCAGCTAATGTTAGAGAGAACAGCAAGGAGACATGTAAGTTTTTTTTTTTTTTTTTCATCCAATCACAACTGCTCCCTACCACACCCCTGAGATTCACCAGGCTGAAGGTGGTTATAATCCCAGCACCCAATTCCACCAATATAATCACATTCATGCTTGCATGTTTTGTTAACTGTTTTGCAAAAGAAAGATTGGATCTGCTTGTCTAAACACTCTGATATGTCTGTATGTCAAGTAGTTGCAAAGCTTTAATGCATTCAACAGTCCACCGGAATGGAATTGAATATCTATGCTTGTTGCATAAAAAGTTTTATTTTCAATGGTCACATAACTGCAATTCCTCTGCAGATGGGAACATCTAGCAGCCGGTGGGAGTGCAACACCTCAGCTCCTGCGTCACGGTGGAAATGATTTATGCCCACTTGGACGTGTTTCTAGGGCAACAGAATGCCAGTTCTAACAACAGCTGTTTGGGGGATGTTTACACATGCACTGTTGGAGCTTTCTCATGAATGACACTTCTGTGTCCTCATTCATGAGAGAATTGTCAGAGCCAACAACACTACTTCACCAGGATAGAAAAAGATCTGCGGGAGTCAGCAACGCTACTCCACCTGGACAGAAAAAGATCTGCAGGAGTCAACAACGCTACTCCACCAGGACAGAAAAAGATCTGCGGGAGTCAACAACGCTACTCCACCAGGACAGAAAAAGATCTGCGGGAGTCAACAACGCTACTCCACCAGGACAGAAAAAGATCTGCGGGAGTCAACAACGCTACTCCACCAGGACAGAAAAAGACCAGCGGGAGTCAACAACGCTACTCCACCAGGACAGAAAAAGACCAGCGGGAGTCAACAACGCTACTCACCAGGACAGAAAAAGACCAGCGGGAGTCAACAACTCTACTTCACCAGGACAGAAAAAGACCTGCAGGAGTCAACAATCACTATTTCACCAGGACAGAAAAAGACCTGCGGGAGTCAACAACGCTACTTCACCAGGACAGAAAAAGACCTGCGGGAGTCAACAACGCTACTTCACCAGCACAGAAAAAGACCTGCGGGAGTCAACAACGCTACTTCACCAGCACAGAAAAAGACCTGCGGGAGTCAACAACGCTACTACTTCACCAGGACAGAAAAAAAACCTGCAGGAGTCAACAACGCTACTTTACCAGGACAGAATAAGACCTGCAGGAGTGAACATCGCTACTTCACCAAAACAGGAAAAGAACTGCAGGGAACAACAACGCTACTTCACCAAGACAGGAAAAGAATTGTTGGAGCCAACAATGCTACTTTACCAGGACAGGAAATGAACTGCGAGGGGCCCACCAACGCTATTTCACCAGACAGGACAAAAACAAAAACTGCAGGGCGAACAACGCTACTTCACCAGGACAGGAAAAGAACTGCAGTGAACAATGCTACTTCACCAGGACAGGAAAAGAACTGCAGTGAACAATGCTACTTCACCAGGACAGGAAAAGAACTGCAGTGAACAATGCTACTTCACCAGGACAGGAAAAGAACTGCAGGGGCCAACAACGCTACTTCACCAGGATAGGAAAAGAACTGCAGGAGCCAACAACACTACTTCCCCAGGACAGGAAAAGAAATTTGGGGATCAACAACACTACTGCACCAGAACAGGTGAACTGTGGATGCCAACAATGCTACTTCACCAGGACAGGAAAGGAATTGTGCGAAACAACAATTCTTCTTCACCAGGACAAGAAAAGAACTGCGGGTGCTGACATGACTAGTAGGAAATAACATTCACCAGTGACAGTCTAGCATTGTTGGTCCAAGATAAGAAAGGAAATAGACAGGAGTTATATGAAATGGCCAGACAACCCTTTTTTTTTCTGAAAATTATGTAAATAAAAAAAGAACATCGTGTAATATGAAGGGTGATTACTTTTAATATTCAATGCAACTGGAGATTTTTTTTTTTTTTTTAAAGTCCACTCTAAGGCACGTGAACATATACTTTCATTCAAATCTAATTGCACAACAGAGGAAGGTTCATGTTTCTGTAGTAGTATGGAAATGCTTGCTGTGATGTTTGAGAGCTGTAATTAAACACATACAGCTCCAGCCCATGAATAGAAATGTCTGTGAGTCATGTCTATAGCTGATGACAGGTGTACACCACTAGCTTAATGTACAGTGTTTGCATAGCTAATGTGTAAGAACATAGCACAGGCTTGTGTTAAGTAAACATGGTATTACATTGCAGTATTTGCATCATGTATAGAAAGACATCTAGATAATAAGGGATGAATATTGTGTAAAATGGTATAAAGAGACTTAAAGGTTTTTCTGCATTCAGACATAAATTGGCTTCCTTTGAGAAATAAATAAATTACATTATATACCTTCCCATACTTTTTAAAATATGTAATCTCTAGTAGTATCTGCCTTTAAATATTTATTGTGGTCCATCTTCTTGTCTATGTATTATTTGTGAGGAGCTTAATAATATTAGTGGGTGTTATAGGGGAACAGCTGGAAACAAACCTATAATTATACATACAGTATATAAGACAAAAAGTAATTTGCATGTGTTTAATCTTTATAATGTGTTGCATGGAAAAGAGAATATATTCCATAAATATATGAAATGATGCCATAATGTTACTGTGCTATATACTGAGCTATCGTTGTAAAGCAAACAAAGTATTACTAAACCCAGGACCCTGCATTCCCTATATCTGGTCTCCCACAGACCAGATTTGAAAACAGCGCGGCCAGTTTCCTGTGAATGAACAGACTACAGGTACTGTCTGCCATTGCGGCTGATGGCTTATAGTTCTCTCGTAGTTCAGTGCTGGTGAGCACTCTTGTATTTCATTAATCTTCCTGCTCTCAAGTAACTGCCTGCCTATACAGGCAGACAGCTTTCCTGAGAGTCTGCAGGAGACCTTGCACCCGTGATCTACTGAAAACAGGTGCAATGCTCTG